ATTAGCTTTTCACTTGAAATTAAGCCCGCAATAATGCATAATTTCAAAATTTTTATTTTATTTATTATATATTTTAATTTGCCTCACACTCACTTTATCCTTAATTATTTGTTATCTTAATTGCTAATTGCTAAATAATATCCATAATTATAATCTATTAGTAACCGTAGAAATAGAATGTCAAATAAAATATTCCTTATGATTTTTAATGTTGTTTATATATTTTCAATGCCTTGTTAAAAATAAAAAGCTTTCAGCATCTTTAAACAATTATAATTTGTTAGGCGGACAAACATTTTTGGAGTTAAATATATTTTTGAAAATCTTTTATTTAATTTATTTCATATTATTTAGTTCTATTTTATTATTGACAACAGTTTGATACCTCCGAAAATAAAGAGTATAAGAATGTTCCTCGATTGGCAGTCGCTTTTGTGTTTATATTTTTGCTTTACTCTGAGAATTTCCCCTGCGCCACTGGAATTTCCATGGTGCCAGCGTTTTCCACTCCTTGCTTTTGTTTTCCTTTTTAAAGGACTCCTCGTGTTCTGGGATCCCTGTGAACTTAGTATTGCCTAGTTAACGGCTGAGCGAAGAGCTCCATGTGAAGAAGGCGGAGCTACGATCGCGTATGGCTGTCTCTTTCTAATTGTTTCACCTCTCTCCTTCTCTCTCGCTATCTGGTACGATCGCTTACCGCTCGCTCTATTAATAAATCATCCCCCTTGGATGTCTGGTATTTTCATGTGCCATCTGCTCGGCAACGGTTGGCTGATCTCTGCGGTTACCCCCACCCCCCTCCATCACTGTGCCCTCTCTTTCGCTCCCCATATCGCCATCTCCTTCTGCCAAAAGGGAGGGCTCTTGCATATTTATATAAATATATACAATGCAAATGATCGGAATGGTAATTGCAATTGGGGGTTGATAGCGGTGCTCGCTTGTGAGAATTGAGAATTCACAGATCTACCATCGATCGCTGTTTCGATGGGAGAATTCATTTCGGCGTTCTTTATTCGAGATAAGCACGGAATTTGCATATCCCTTATAACGTTAGTCAGAGAGGTGTTAAGTACGTCGGGATAGTTCCAAAAAAAATAGTTTCAATCTATGCTTTTATAAGCAATATTTGGTGATCTTTGATTGGGGTAAGTCTGTTCTTTTTAAATTCCAAAAACTTTTTAATTTGTTTAATCTTATTCAAAAATATTTCATACTTATTTATTTATTTAAGTCATGATTTGGGTTATAATTTGTTTAGAATTAAACGACATATTAATAGATATTTCTAGATTTAAATACACATCTTTTGTTTGTTGAATATGATTTATTATTATTATTATTTATCTTTGCGTAAATTTATATTCCCAGCAATGTTATTTTTCTTTAAATATTTGTAGCACCCACTAAAAAGTGAAACCCGGAGTGTTTTTGGTCAACAGGTAGTCAATATCAGATGGTCGTACTTAATTTTTTTTTGCCCATATTTTATGACCCGTGGCGGCGGCTAATCGGCCAAAATATTTGCGGGGCGTGTTGGTTAATCCGGGCGATTGACTTTCATAAGCAAAGGATTAAGATTGCGCGGTTGGACTACCTGTTTTGAGGTGCCATATTTTGGTGTACAACTGCGTTCAGGTACTTTGGGCATGCAGTTAAACCATAGATTTTCCCTATTTTTTGGGGATCCGCAAAAAAGCATAGCAAAAGTGGGCCAATAAAAAAGGGTTGATCCTTTTTGGCTCCTGTGGGCCAGTCTGCGTGTAAACGCATCCTTGCCAGGTACTAACTGATTTTTGCGATCCTGCGGATCCTTGCGATGCGCGTGCTGCAACGGCTTCTGTCGCAAATTGCCAAGGAATCGCAGCAGGATCCAAGGAGCGACGACAGGAGCGCTGATTTACCGAGAATCTCAACCTTTAGCAATCGCGTCCTTGTCGCACGACCGTCGCAAACATTGCTAACCTGCCGGCCCCGGTCATATATGTCCCGGGGATATGGAATATAGAATCGGTCCGTGGGTCCGTCGGTCCGTATCGGTGTAGGAATCGAAAGGACACGAGGTCCTTCGCAGCGAGCGGCCGCGCACGTACAAAAGGCAGCGCTGCCGATTTACTGGATTTACTGGAAGTGTGCGTCCATAATGTCCAGCTGAGAGCGGCGCGTTCTCGCGACATTTTGGTTGGTCTTGCCTCGTGGTTCCCCTCATTCCCCTACATTCTCACTTCCTCCCACATTCTGGAAAAGTCCTCTGCCAAACCCCCTCCCCACAGACCCCTTGATGAACAACAAAAATTTGGGTCCTGTGTGGCCTCGTTTTTAAGGTTGTTTTGGTGGGCCGCAATTTTTTGGCCTGTCAAGCACTTGATTTGAGCTGCACTGCTAGAAAAGTGTCTTAAAAAAGAGAGAGATAAAATTAATATAAAAAAATAAAGTATTTCAAGAAATTAAACATAATTCTTACCATCTTTTAAAGACACGGGAACTAGTTTTACACTCAAATGTAAAGTAATTATCGCCCTAACCGCTTGTATCCTAAAAACAATATCATAATTGATTTCTTGAATGATGGTTCTAAATAGAAGTCAAATATAAATTAAAATTTTTGTAATATAAAAACTGTAAGAAAACAGTAAAGTAAAAGCTAGTAAGAATATCATTTTCTTTACTAGCTTTTACTGTAAAAATGTAGTAAATAAATCGTAAAACAACATTTTAAGAAACAGCACTATATATATATATATTTTTTTTAAATACTTAAAAGAAATTTGACCTCCTATTTAATTTGAAGGCATCAAAATATTAATTTTTCCTAAATAGAACATGAAATAAAGGTATTATTTTTAGCGGAAACAAAACTGATTTATTTATACCAAATTTTACGCAATAATTTTTGAATAGATAGCCTGCAGAGGCGTAGGGGATTAAACGTATTCCAAGTATGACACTTCCGGGTCAGATTAAATCCGATCAGCTAGCTAAACCTGATCCAATCAAGGATCGGCGATCGGCGATCGGCGATCGCAGGCAGCGAAAATGGAAATGAAATCGAAGAGGATTGCGCCACGTGAACAGAGGGCGCACAAATATTTACACGACTAATCGCCAGATAATCGCCCCGATCAGCATTAGGATTAAGTCGATCCGTAGAGAGATCGCTGGCAGTGAGTTTTAGATAGTATCCGGCACAGACCGGACCTCACAATGGGTGTTACTTGGATAGATCTAGATCCAGATCCAGATCGCAGATCACCGATCAGTTGATCAAGTTTCGAGATTGATCTGTTAGGGGATCAGCTTGAATGGAGTAAATTTGGGCGGAATCGATGTAAAACATTGGGCAACAATGGATGTGGGATGTGGGATCAGTACTCCGTAATGTGATCAGTCAAAGATTTCTGTTTATTTTGAATAACACACTAATTTTTGGGACATTTGCAAACAAAGAAATGTAATTCGTGCAAATTCAGATGTATTATTATTTAATATGATATGATTTATAGTTATTAAAGGGATACAATTCATTTTCCTTATATGATATAAGAGGTAAAGAGAAAAGGTTGTATCAAAATCATTACCAAATTCTGAGAATTAAATGTAAGTTTTAGTATTATTTTTTATAAATTATCTTTGCACTATAAGTAAGTTAACACTTTATAAACATCTTAAGGCCATTAAGCCCGAAAGACTGCAATAAAAATATTAGAAATAATCTTAAAGTGTTTTATGTTCTCATTTAAATTGATATGCCTAATTTTAAGATGTCGAATTGCACCTTTAATAATTTTCTTTTTGAGCAAAGTATTTTTTTTTGCATAATATTTTGTGACCCTTTATTATTATAATATCAATACATCCATTTAGTGTTGTGAATATTAGATTCTTATAGAATTAATATTTTCATTTGTTTTCCGAGTCCATTTTTGAGTTTCTATAGAATTTTAATTAAATAATATTTTTATGTTAAGATAGTATTTAAATTTACTTTTGTTTCTTTTCCTGGCAAAAAAAAAATGAATTATTTTAATGTTTACCCCAAGTTTAAGTCCATTTAATTGATATATCACAAATTTAAGATTAATGTTCATATCACTTATGATCCTTAATTTTCCCGAGTTCCATCCTTTGATCCCTCTTGTATTGTGATAATATTTATGATAATTTCGCCCCGCGATCCCTCCTTCCCTCTGGCTAATTGAGTCCTCATGTCCTGTCGGCAGGACACTCTATGGCACCCCCGCCCCCCTCCACCCTGTCATTCCATGGGTGCCTACCTGTACCGCCACCGCCCCCGACCCCTACCACGCCCCCTCCAGGACGCCCCTCTGCAGGAGGGCCGGCAAAACACGCGCGCCGCTGGAAGTGGAAAATGGGAAACTGTTGCACGGCCGTTTTCTTTTGGCGTGCGTGGCGAAAAAAAAAAAAAAGTAAAATAAAAACGAAGAAAAGGAAAACACACACATTTTCCAGACCGCCTGTGGGGAAAACGAGAGGGAGAGAGAGAGAGAGTGAGAGAGCGACAGAGAGAGAGAGCGGAAAGTCTCGGTGTATTTCTTTTTTGAGTTTTTCTTTGGTGCAATTTCCAGGCCATCGCTCGCTCTCGCTCTCACCCATGTGATTTTTTTTCCTCCTTCTTTTTGTTTTATTCTTTTTTTTTTTTTGTTTTTTCCTCTTTGGCCACAAGTAACAAGCGACTTCTCTCTCTCACACACACACACAAGCACACACACACACACACATGGACACACAGAGAGACCGCAATGGAAAAATGGGAAATTTTTTGCTGTGGTTGTTGTTGCGGCGGCAATGGTGGTTGCTCGATATACCGATATATACCTGCCCCGGCACCCTTAAAATCGCGCCAGTGTGCGTAGGTAGCCAACCACACCACCATACCGCCCCAGGATAATGCGACAGAGCGAGATGGCCGCCGTGGAGCAAGCGAGATGGCGCATACGGGCGTCGACAGCGACGTCGGCAGCGGCGGCGAGCAGCGCATTCCACTTTAAATACTGCCAACGATCGCAGCAGAGAATCAGTTCACTCAGCGACTTTAGCGTGTCGAGAACGCACAGAGAAACGATTTCGAAAACACACACACACACAAAACTATACCCATAACATTCGAAAACCATTCGAAATCCCGTTCGAAATCGCGAACAATTTGAGAAACATAAACAGAATATTTTTTCCAAGTGAGCCGCGTGAAAGTGAAGTGAAAGCAAAGGAAAGCAATTAACTAAATTGGAACTAAGCCACTGCAAGGATTACGACATTCGGATACGAGATGCATCTGCCAGCGGGTCCAACGATGGTGGCCAACAACACACAGGTCCTGGCCGCCGCCGCCGCCGCAGCAGCAGCCGCCGCAGCAGCCGCAGCAGCCGCTTCACATCAGGGCCATGCAGCGGCCATCGCCTCCCATCCTCCCTCCGCCGCCAACCTGGCCAATTTGGCCAACTTGGCCAATACCAGCACCCATTCGGCCAGCTCCACGGGCAGCTCGACCCCGGATCTCAGTACAAACAACAACAACACCAGCTCGAGCAGCAATGCCACCAATGCGACGACGACGACGGCGACAACGACGACGACGACGACGACGAACAACGGCAGTCCACAGAATTCGGCCAAAATGCCCAGCTCGATGACCGATATGTTCGCCAGTCTGCACGAGATGCTGCAGGAATATCACGGTGAGCTGGCCCAAACCGGCTCACCGTCGATCCTGTGCAGCGCCCTGCCCAACCACTGGCGGTCCAACAAGTCGCTGCCCGGCGCCTTCAAGGTGATCGCTTTGGACGATGTGCCCGATGGCACCCTCGTCTCGATCAAGTGCGGCAACGATGAGAACTACTGCGGCGAGCTGAGGAACTGCACCACGACCATGAAGAACCAGGTGGCCAAGTTCAACGATCTGCGGTTCGTGGGAAGGTCGGGACGGGGCAAATCCTTCACGCTGACCATCACCATTGCCACATATCCCGTGCAGATCGCCAGCTACAGCAAGGCCATCAAGGTGACCGTCGACGGGCCACGGGAGCCAAGAAGTAAGCAAAGTGAGTTTTTTAGTTTCCATTATGTTTTCAGTTCAATCCACTCCCAAAGATCCTTCCCCTCCACTCTTCCAAAGAACCACTTTCCAACTGCTACACAAATTTCGAATATTGCACTGTCTATTTCTAATTTCATAAACTTTAAACAAAAAGATTCAATCGTTTTTAAAACAATCTTCTGAAGCTTAAATCAATTTTAAAAAACTATTTATTCTAATCATTCTTCAAATGTCTAAACTATTTATAAAAAAGTCCCTCATTTGCTAAGCATATTCTTGAAATATATGATTAGCATATTAAACACTTTAATCATATACTCTTTTAAGGCATTATAAATTAAAAAATAAAAAACATGCTTAAATAGTTTTTGAAAGCCATTACCTTTGTTTAAATAATTTCTCTAATAAGCCAAAAGTTTTAAGCATTTTGAATGATCCTCAAAGCATTTTCCCAACAACCTAAACGCCTTTCCGCCCACCCGAACCTTTTATAAAAACATTGAGGAAATCCGTGGAGTGCCTTACTCATTTCTTTCCACCTTTTTGCATCCTTCCAGGCTATGGCTATCCCCATCCCGGCGCGTTCAATCCCTTCATGCTCAATCCCGCTTGGCTGGATGCGGCGTACATGACCTACGGCTATGCGGACTACTTCCGCCACCAGGCGGCTGCCCAGGCGGCCCAGGTGCATCATCCGGCGCTGGCCAAGTCATCGACGTCGTCGGTGTCGCCCAATCCCAATCCGGTGGCCACCAGCTCCTCGTCGGCGGTTCAATCGCCCGCCGAATATCCCCATTCCCATCCACATCCGGCGGCAGCGGCGGCGGCGGCGGCGGCGGCGGGTCAACCTACAGCCATGATGCCATCGCCACCGGGAGGAGCTCCGGCCACACCCTATGCCATGCCCCAATTTCCGTTCAACCATGTGGCAGCTGCAGCCGCCGCCAAGGCCGCCACGCCCCATGCCTTCCATCCGTACAACTTTGCGGCGGCCGCCGGCTTGCGGGCCCGCAATGCTGCACTGCATCACCAGGGCGATCCCGCCCACGTCAGCCCCGCCTCCTCGAGGCCATCCAGCTCCTCGCCCACCCAACAGCATGTGCTGCTCAAGCTGAACACTTCGATCGAGACGAGCTCGATCCACGAGCAGTCCGCCTCCGATGGCGACTCCGATGACGAGCAAATCGACGTGGTCAAGTCGGAGTTCGACCTGGACAAGGGCCTCGATGTGGCGCCGCTCCGCATGCGCTGCGACCTCAAGGCTCCGTCGGCCATGAAGCCGCTCTACCACGAGAGCGGAACCGGAGCGGCGGCCAACAACCATCGCCAGCCATCGCCGGAGACGACCACGAAGATCAAGAGCGCCGCCGTTCAGCAAAAGACCGTGTGGCGGCCCTACTAATCGACACCAAAAACCAGGTCCACATCCACAACGAGATCCAGATCTAGATCCAGATTCAGATCAAAATCTTTGGAGTGGTAGGCAAGGGGAAAAAATTAAGAAAAAAAAACAAAGTGATAAAACAGCGGCGGCGCAGAGCGGCAAGCGGGCAAAAATTATAATTGTGATATAGTGTTATAAGTTACGACGCCTCCGGCCGGCAAACGGAGCAGCCTCATCATTGGGATTGAAGGATACATCATTCACCATTCACCATTCATCATTCATCATTCATCACCAGCATTAGCAGTTAGCAGCGGCGAACATGGATAAAGGACCCCCTCCTGAACTTCAGACTCCGGCGAAGTTTTATGCTCGGATTCATAAAATCGTGCGACGAGTTCGAAAAACAGGCCCTCGATTTTCACCAGGATTTTCTACAAATCCCAGCCGAAAGCAAAATAGCTCAACCCCAAAAAGGAAAAAAGAAAAAGAAAAAAAATCAACTTTAGTTCAATTTCATTTCACCAAACACCAAACATTTTGTACATAGCTAAACTAGTTTGTAACACTCTCAACTTTATTTTAGTTTTTTTTTTTTTTGAGTACCCATTTTTTTCGATGCGATAATATATGCGAATTTAGCTATTTTTAATCTTTATGTTTAACTAGTCGTCTAAGCGAGAAATCAATTTTTTTGTCTAGCCGTAAGTTTTAGCGCGAAAAGAAATCTAACACAAAAAATCGAATTTGAAACAAAACCAAATAAAAAACAAAAATGACACACGAAAAGTATTTACAAAAAATATCAATCATTTGTTTTCTTTTTCTTAAAGGTTATCCAAATATTTCAGCAAAATTTCCTTTAGCTACAAGCAACTTGGAATTTCAAACAGTTATGAAAAATTCATATTTTTACGTAAGTTATATTCATTTTTAGCGTTAAACCTTGCAGAAGTATGTGTTCTTTAGAAACAATAATTTTCATAAAAATATATTGTTCATCTCATCATTTTGATAAGGGGAAAACTTTATATAAATCATCTAGAGTTTTTGTGCTACTGGTTTTTTTTTGGAATTTCATCTTGGGGAAACAAAAATGACGCACATTACTTGAATTTCCCTTATTAAAGAATAAAACCTCTTGTTATCATAAATGGCAAGCAGACATCTGAAACATACCAAATGATAATAAATGGCCAAGAATTACCCAAAAGTTAAGAAATTCCAAAAATGCATTATCAACCCAAATCAGATGGAAAAACCAACCGCGAATTAATATTTTCACTTGACTTTATCTCTCGAGTACGCGTACTTTCGATAGTGTCTGCTACTTTCATTAGAGAATCTCTTTTTTGTTTTCAATCAATACAGTGATTGAGTCTCGTCAAAAGAGCGGATATGATAAGAAATAGAATTGCGAGTTAAATCAAAAGTATAGTCATTTATTGGCTGGGTTTGATTTAAACTTATTTTACTCAGAAATGTCGTATTAAATTATCAAATTTTGTAATCAGCAATATTTAAAGAATTCTAAGAATATTTTAATTTTTATTTCAATGTGAAATACAAAGAAATTACTAAACGTATTTGATACCTCTGAAAATTGTTCACCATTGAATTAACAATTATATTTTCTAAAATTGTGTTTAATGCAGAAAATATACCGATTTCCAAAATCCTCAAATATCCAGTGTGAGTTGGTGGTCCTCGAAAATCGAAGGACATCGGCTGACCGCAGGACATGGACATGGACATGGACATGGCCAGGCCCAAATTGATGGCAATTAATGCGGATTATTGGTGATTAGGGAACCTCGTTGGATCCGCAGGAGTTCACTTTGCGACAATTGTCGCATTAATTGGCATAACTAACTCGATTTCGTAGCCAGGACTCAGATGCAGATATAAGGCAACAGGATATGCCGAAATGCGATGCGATGCAGTTGGCCAACCGCAGTGAAATTTGTCGAGGCCATTAACCGCACAGTCTCAGTCACAGTCACAGTCACAGTCAGAGTCAGAATCAGAGTCACAGTCTCCTTATGCTGGTCAACACCTTGGTCCTTTGGTTTGTGTGGGCCGTCAAGGTCGACCCAACGCTGCTGCTGCTGCTGCTTCAGCCTCCCGACCTTGCCTTCGATTGGTCAAGGTCACAGGACCTCGATTTGGTGACAGATCGATGGGGTTTCTCACCGGGTAAAATCGCCGTGGGTGAGCCGCCAGTGGGAAACTGTTTTTCACAAATCCAATCCCATGAAAACTCTTTCCCAAAAGATAAGTATGATATTAACACTCCGTTTGTTTGAAAATAAATGTATTTATTTGGGTAATTCCTCTCATCCAACTGAATTCGATTGAAGCTGCGAATTTCGAATTTTTGTGCCCGGCATTTGTTCAAATATTTTTCCGAAAAATAGTGGAAGCCGTAATGATTCCACTCCGATTTCCACCGCACCATTTTAACAGCCCACCACTTGCATTTTCGCATTTAATCAATGGAAAATTTACATTTTCACAATGTGTTCTACAATTTTCCCCATGTTTTTTTCAGCCTTCAGGGTTTTCGTTGTAATTTTTTTGCAACCACGCGTAAATGGCGCCTTTTTTTGTTTAAAAAAAATTGTGCTTTTGTTCGTTTATTTTTGGCGTTGGTGTATTTTTTGTTATGCATGTTGTTGAATTTGTTTGGCATTAATTTTATATTTTTGTCGATTTATTTGCTGTTCTTTCTTTCCATGTAAAATTTGGTGCTCTTGTTCGTGAATTGGTTAATTTTATATTTTTGTTATTAATTTATTTACTCAATTTCTTGTATGATTTGATTTTTTATTTGTGTCGGTTGACATTTTTTATGATATGGTGTTCATAATTTTTAAAATTGCCTATATTGGTGTATTTGTTGAATTATTCATTGCTGAACGTATAGTTTGATTGGTGTTTCATTTATGCATTTAAAGTATTATATATATTATTATTACTTATTTCTATTTTTACAAAAAGTTGGTATATGTAGTATTAAACATTTGGTGTTATTGTTTCCATTAAAGTATACAAATAAATACTAAAATAGTTCTTTCGGCAGATGCTTGGATTTGAACTGATCGCTTTGATTGTTGTCGCTTCTGAGGTTGCTTGTGTGTGGTTGCCGGCGGTTTGGAGCGTCCGTCAAAAAATGTCTACAAAAAGATACAGATATTAATGCCGAAAGAGATACACAGTGAAAAGATACACGAATCCGCGCCACGCGAAACGAAACGAATCGAATCGCTAGCGGAACCAAACACAACAAAACCAACAAAATGGGGAAAATGAGCGATGGATGGGGGGGAAAATCAAAGGGGCGGGGAATGGGAGGAGGGGCCAGCGAAATGAACCGAAAATATAAAAATGGCCAATGGAAAATGGTTGGCCAGAAATTACAAAGAGGCACGTGGAGGCCTGAGATTCGGGGGGCTTGTCAGAGGAAAGGTAAATGAACTGTTGTACACCCACTTCCCAGTTTTCCCTACCAATTTCCCCCGAACAAATTACAAACGAAATGAGGCGGTTCGTTTTGTTTTTCTTCTTTATTTTTTATTTTGACCAAACGAAATGCAATTGCCTTTGAGGGAAGTACCCTTTTTACAGAATATGATCAAACGGCCGAACATAGCTCTTAAATGTTCAAACAGCTGTGTTCAAAATAATAGCTTTAAAACGCTGTTTTATTATTATAAAAACTAGAAGTCATTTGAACATTAAATATAATGCCAGAACTAAAACTAAATGGAAATGATTTACAAAACACTGTACAAACTGTGCAAGCATTTAAAGATTTTTAATTATTTAGGAGCTCATTTAAATGAATATCATATACCTTATGGTGAGCACGCTTTTTTTAATATTTATTTATTTAGGTTTTTATGTTAGTCTTTCATTTGATATTATTTAATTTTTTTTTTTTTTTGCCATTCAAATCACGTTTTTGCGTATTTTAAATAGATCCGCACTATTTACTTGATAACAGCTGTGTATCACCTAAATTGTCGAGTCTTTTTGTCTGTGTGTTTCCCTATTTTTTTTGTGTGATTTTTGCTTAATTTGGTGCTAATGAAATGCGTTGGTCAGCGCTGATTGCATGTGGCCATGGCCGTGGGTTTTTAGGGGGGTCAGAGTTGCCCACAAAATCCAAAGTGTCACGCGACCAGAGTCAATTGTCTGGGAAAACTTTAAACGGGCCCTTTTAAAGGCATTACAATTTAAATGCCAATGTTGGCAATTTGTTAGTTGTCACGGAAAAGGAAATGGGCCGGGGACCCCCCTCTGCAAAAACTAAAAAGCCTAAAGGCCTTGGCGGTTAACCCGCAACTCAGACTGCTTTTCCTCTGCTTTTCTAATGCGCTTAAGCGATTGAGCTGGAAAGTGGAAGCCCAGGAAAACAACTCCAATTAGTCGCTCGCCCTCGACATAATCCCCAATAGCCGAGATTTTCTCAACTAAATCCAAGTCGGTCGGGTCTGTCGGGGGTGGGGATTAGGGGGTCCTAGCCATTACATCGATGTTTTCGGACCCATCCACTTCATTTTCAAAATTAAAATGCTGCGCACAAAATGAAGTACGCTAATTAAATGTCCTTCAAAGGGGGCAACTCCAGGAAAATGCCACAGGTCGAAAAAGAAGATCGAAGCGGAATGTTCTTTCTTAAAAAAAAATAAAAAATATAATTTTATAGTGTAAGTGTTTTAATCGTTTTGTTACTTTATTAATATGTAATATCATAAAATAAAACATAAATTGAATAAATCTTTAAGTTACAGCCATTAAGTCAGCGATAATTTGAAGCTCTGATTTTTTGACTAACAATTTATGATATCCGCAAAAAAGGTCACCCTTGGATAGTTTACTTCTTGATTTCGGCATTAATTTGCATAATTTTGTGCTTTGTTTTATCATACTTATAAGCCTCGACAAACATTTTGAGATACCCCATAAAAAAGGGCACTCAAATATTTGAGGAGACTGCGTTATTGAATCCTTTCGACAGCATTTTTCCGAGTCTTTTGTTCATTGTCAGCGCTTGAGTATTTTTGATTGAGTGACGGGACGGATGAAAGGGTTCATGATTGAGGTGGGATTTTGATTGGGGCCAGCGCATCGTGGACGGGGGGCTATCCGCTGTCCTTGTTGACGCTTAACCGCATTTAATTTTATTGAATTTATTAAGTGATTAAAAAGTTGTCAATATCAACGAGTCGAGTCGAGTCGAGTCATTGTTGCTGTTGCTCGCTTTTGTTAGCCACATTGTCACAACAGTTACGGCATTGGCAATTGGCAAATGGCAAATGGTAAATGGTAAATGGTAAATGGCACCGTGTCCGCTTTACTTTCCGCTTTAATCCTTGATGTGGTCGCACGGCAAAAACAAGGACACCCGACGGCAATAACAACAAGCAGCAAACAAAAACGCGAACAAAAATAAAGCAAAAAAGTGTCCACTTCATGGACAATTGTGTAGAGATCGGTTTTTCAATATTTTTCAGCTTTTTGCCGGGGCAAATTTATTAATGCGCCACCGTGTGGCCTTTGTGGTCGCTGTGGATTATGCGGTCGTCTCACTTGTTGCCGCCGTGTCCTTGTTATCACCCGAATCACCTGCCTTTTGAGCGGCACAATTATACCCTTCTCCACTCTATCGCCATCCATTGTTTTCCCTTCGGAACTCTTCCACAAATTTTCAGCTATTTGCCAAGGAAAATTCTAGTTAGCATTTCCCGCCTTCCCGGTTCTCCTCCCCCCCCTTTTGC